GATGACAAAGGCTTAGACTTCTGCCTTTAGAACTTGGCAAAGAAAGAGAAAAATATACCTAAGTAAAGGAAAGAAAGAATAAATAAGAAACTGAAGAAACAGAAACAAGCTCAATGCAGACAGGAAAAGGTCAAGTCAGAAGGTGGTTATCTGAAAAGCAGAGAAAAAGTAGCAAACTCCCACAGCACTATCAATAACCATGACTTTATGAGGGTCAAGCCTGGCTGTCAGGATATGCAGAACCAGACAGAAGACTGGGGAAGGTGGAGAGCTGGACTAGGGTCACTGACAAGAAGAGGGACTTAGAGTTGAAGCCACTTCCATTGAGCCTGGAATTAAGGATAATTCCTCTGCATAGATCTAAAATCTGTAGACATCATCAGGTACTAGTTTTGAGCCCAGTTTGTCTATAACCAAAGAAACAACGTTTCTGGGACCGGAGCAATTCAACGAGCTTTTCACTTCATTCCTTTGAAAAACAGTGACTAACATTTGTGAAATGTTACTAGGACTGTTCTTCTTTATACCTAGAAGAAACCAGCGAAAATAGCGGTTCCATCCATCTAGAACCTTGGAAATAGGGAAGGGAGGAAAATCAGCAAGGAAATAAAGTATCTGGAAAATAAAAATAAAACCTCCTACCCGCCGGGCGGTGGTGGCGCAGGCCTTTAATCCCAGCACTCAGGAGGCAGAGGCAGGCGGATCTCTGTGAGTTCGAGGCTGGGCTGGACCGACAGCCTCCAAAACAATACAGAGAAACCCTGTCTCGAAAAACCAAAAAAAAAAAAAAAAAAAAAAAAAACAAACCTCCTACCCAACTCTATTGTGAGTTCTAAATGTATACTGTCCACAGGTTAGCAGAACCCTAAGCCATGAAATTAAATCTAGTCTACAAGGAACAAAATGCCAATGGCCTCAGCAGAAATAAAGTTAAAATCACTCAACTGCACATCTTTCTACCCATGTGTGTTGGGGTACATATACATGAATCCATGTGTATAATGCTATATACAATATAAAAAAACACACAAACATAGACTGTAATTTCAGCACTTCTTGGGCTGAGACAAGGAGATCATGAGTTTTAGGTCAGCCTGGGTTGTATAGCAAAGCCTCATCTCAAAATACAAAAATGAAAGTTAATGTCACAAACAATGCAACAATTTTATTGACCAATTTATTTCATACTTGGTAGGCAACACTGGAAATAACAGAAAAACTTAAAGGCAATTATAAATAAATTGCTGTAGAATTATATTAAGATGATTAAATGGGACAATAAAATCTTTTAAAAATTGGGCAAGCATTTGAATTTGAATAAAAAAAAAGAAAAAGAAATAAATAATCATACCTAAAATGAAAACAGCTGTTATTCGTTTTCAATTAACACCTTTTGGCTTGACCTTTCCCACCTTATAGTGTGTTCACCTGTACACTAAATACAGATGAAAACACTATGGTTAAGTGGAAGAAACCTGACGAAAAAGCACTTTGGAATTAAGAGCTGATATTTGGGCCGGAAAGCAGGGAGGGGCACTCTGAATGAAGCATTTAGCTAATAGGAAGGAAAAGTCAATGGCTATACAACATACACACCTTCTGGACCTGCGCACTGCAGAAGGCATGTGGTGGCAGCACAATGACATGACACCCTGGAGCAGAGAAAAACCATTTACAAGGGCTCTATGTCAGACACTTAGAAAAGAAACCTAAGAGAGTGCTGTGAACTCCTAAACTCCACCATTAGGGAACAAGTTCCCTGACCATGTGATGAGAGGCAGCAGGAACATGATCACCATGGGTTGGACCAGTTTCTATAGCTAGTCTGAAAGCCTGAAATCCATGCTTGTGGTATCATCCCTGAACCTGGAAGCTGGGTTCCAAGACATTCAGACACAGCAGGAGATGAGATAATATGGTAGCAAAGTCAGCTGTGTCAGTATGCACAACATGGGGGTCAGCATGTCCGAAGGAAAGTTCTAGGGCTGCCATGCCACCCACAGTGACCAATATTAGGTGGCCTCCTGAGCCTCAGAAAGCTTCTGATGAACTCTCCAAAGAGCCTGGTCCACTTCAGAGCACAGAGCTTCCTATGGTACAGCCTAGGTTCTTCCAACCTGTAAGTGTCATGACTTTACCCAGCAAACTTCAAATGTAAATTGTAAAGAGGAAAACAGAGTCAATTAGGACATGCAATGGGTGGGAAAATGGATGAGAATTTTCCAAAACTGAATGTATTACACTGCATTCCAAGACAGATAAATCTATGCCTAGAAATTTGCCTAGAATTAAACTGTAGAATATCAAAGACAGAAATAAAGTCTTCAGAGACAGCAGAAACAAAGGACAGATAACAAAGAAAAGGATTGGTCCTATTAGGCCATCAAGTAAGAGATTGATCATACTAGGCTGTCAAGAGACTTCTTTAACAACTAGATTCTGGTAAACCCAACATCTCCCCACCCAGGGAGCTTCCCTCCTCTGGGCTGGTCCTTGTTCTAACCAGATGATGCGACAAGTGTGATAGCTGAGACTACATCTAGGCCTCTGAAGGTGAGCAACGTACACTGCTGTGTATTTATAACTCTTGTTTAGGGCCTCTGTGCTTAGTCACTATGCTAGGAGAAGCGAAAGCCAACAACCATGGGGCTTAAAAAAAAAAAAGGCAAACAGCAATGACTGTCAGCCATATGAAGATGCCACACTTGATGTTTCACCTAAAATGAGTCCCTAAATAACTGCAGTCCCAGCTAATACCAAAAGTAGAAACCACCTATACAAACTCAGGGAAGTAACAGGAGATTATTTTTAAATTATTATTTTAAGCCAGTAATCTCAACCTCCCTCACTCTGTGTATGTGTGTCTCTCCCGCTCCTAACCTCTATGCCCTCACTATGTAGACTAGGCTGGTTTTAAACTAACAGATGTACGCTTGCCTCTTTTTCCTGAGTGCTAGGATTAAAGGAGTGTATCACCAGATATTTTTATTTACTTTTGTTTTTTGAGACAGAATCTTTCTTTTTTTTCTCTTTTCTTTTTTTTTTTTTTTAAATGCTTTTCGAAACAGGGTTTCTCTGCATTGTTTTGGAGGCTGTCCTGGAACTCCCTCTGTAGACCAGGCTGGCCTCGAAATCACAGAGATGCGCCTACCTCTGCCTCCCAAGTGCTGGGATGAAAGGCGTGTGCCACCAACACCCTGATTCAGACAGAATCTTGCTACATACTAGAATAATGTTTAAACTAGCATTCCATCATCAATTTAATACCGTTCTAGATTCTAGAAATTCAGATGAAGACTATACATTTTTTTATAGACAAATAGTGAATGTTCCCCACTTAGACACCCTTATGAAAGAAACACTCGAGTATATGCATACCAGAAGTAATTGTAAACAATTAAATTTATAAATACTTTAGCAAACTAAATAAGCATTAAGAATAAGACAAAATGCATGGTAACCTTTCATAATCTGATTAACCAAATACAATACTGGAATTTGAGCTTTTTTATTAATATATTTTTATTGATTATTTGGAAATTTCATATAATGCAAGCTGATCACATTCACTTCCTGGTCCTCCCAGGTTTCACACCCCAACCCTTGGAACCATCCCCAAATCAAAAGAAGACAAGAAAAAACTATATCAAGTCTAACTTCGTTGCCCATATACTCAGTGGAACATGGTCAAACACCCAGAGGCCTGCCCCTTAAAAGAACTGAGTCCTTCCCCACCCTTGTTAGAAACTCTCAACTGTGAAGAGCTACACTTCAGTTTCCTATCACAACTTTTAAGAGTTTTCTTCAATGGCTTCAATTACTCTGTGTGTGTGTGTGTGTGTGTGTGTGTGTGTGTGTGTGTGTGTGTGTGTTAAGGCAGGTGACTGGACAACTTGCAGGAATTTGTTCTCTCCTGCCACCATGTGGGTCTCAGGAATACAACTGGGGATGAAACCCAAATAGTCAGGGTTTCTGCCAAGCGCCTTTACCTGCTGAGCCGCATCACTGGCCCTGCTCGGTGTTTTTAACACTACGAAAGATAATGACAGTGTTACAGGAGATGACCAGGAGAACAGCCAACATATATGACAGTGTCTCCATGAGCTCACACAAGGTATTTATGTAGTCTTTCCCTGACCTTCTCCCACACAGAACCCTTTATCACTCCGTATCTCAGAAGCTCTCCGCTCGACTACTATCAATGGATAGAGAAGGTGAATTTATAAGAGAAAAATTAAAAAAAAAAGTCAGATGCTCTAGTTTCCTTTCTGTTGCATCTTGGGAAAGGAAAAGTTTATTTTAGCTTTGTAAGTCCAGATCACAGCCCATCAGTCAGGGACTGAACTCAAGGCAGGAGCTTGAAACAGAAACAATGGAGGAACACCCCTTGCTGTCTCACCCATTAGCTTTCTCACATGTTCATGCTTAGTTAACTTCTTACCTCCCTTTGCTAGCCCCGAACCACCTGCCAGGACCCCAGAGAGCTGCCCATAGTGGGCTAGGCCTCGCTTTAACCATAAATAAACAAGAACAATCCCCCTCCCCTCCAATGGACTCTAGGCAACTCCTGACTGAGGTCTTCCTCAGATGATTCTATTCTGTAAGGCTGGCAAAGAAAGCTTAGCAAGCAGCAGGCAGCAGGCAAGCAGGAGTGCTCTCTCAGCATGCACCCAGATACAACAGCTTAGCCCACTCCTTTGACTTTGGCCCATTTTGTCACCTTCAGAAGCCATGCCATGGACATGCAATGTGAACGATTAAATTAGCATTCGGGACAAAAGGGTCCTGCATAAAAGATTTTAAGCAAATTAATCCTTATACTTTTTAAAAAATTATTAGTTCCCTACTCATCTCTTCTTAAAATTTTGATGCTAACTTAACATTTACATAATTTCTAAAGTTAAAAGGTAGAGATCAACTTAAGAATTTCAACTTTTAATTAACACAGAACACAAAGAAAGTGAGTGACCTTTTAAAAGCAGCTGCTGAGCATTACTTACCTTAATGGCAAATTTCTTAGATGCCATTTCTGAATGAGCTACGAGTGCTACAGAACCTGCAAGAAGAAAAAAGAAAGCTAGAGTTAGCTATATCAAAATAGCTCTTGGGGGGTGTTATATGGAAGAGATTGCTTAATAAAATATTACTAAGCAGTATGAGATAAAATTTTAATTCTGATTTCCTTAACTAAAATATTACACTAATATCACGACCTAAAAACTGACCAGAAGCAAATGAACAAGCTCGGGTAGCTTCCCTACAGTACTCCACCAAATGTTTATATTCAATTTACATTTACCCCAGGAATGCAAAGGTGACTTAACATCTGAAAAGTAAGCAATAAAACATACCATATAATCATAGAATTTCGTTCCCAGAATTGACAATAAAAGGAGAGAGCCAACTCCTAAAAGTTGCCCTCTGGCCTTCAAACATTCTGTGGTAGGTACATGAACTCCCCCCACCACCCCCCCACACACACACACACAGAGAGAGAGAGAGAGAGAGAGAGAGAGAGAGAGAGAGAGAGAGAGAGAGAGAGAGAGAGAGAGCGCAAAGAGAGAGCAAACAATAATAATATACATTTAAAGAGAAAATACCATAGCTAAAATCATACATGATGAGTAAACATTTCCTCCCACTAAGATGAACAAAGGGCAATGTCTTCTCTTGCAACTTTTATTCAAAAATGTACTAGACAGCAAATAGACAATGAAAAGAAACAGGCATCCAGAAAAGGAAGAGATCAAGCTCCTTTATTCACAAATAACATGCTTTTACATATAAAAAAATTCTCCCTTTCTCTTCCACGTTTTCCTCTCATCTGTCTCCTTCCCTCCTTTCCTATTTCTTATACACACATATACAAAGAATCTATTACAATTAGTAAACAGCTTTGGAAGAGCTGCTGGGATAATTGGATCATTAAAGTGCCACTGTACTTTGGTATACCAGTAAAGAACAATACTAAAAGTGAAATTAATAAAACAATTCCATTTCTGATAGCAGGAAGAGAATAAGAAGGAAGAATTATAATTAAAGCAGTGCAATATTTGTACACTAAACACCATAAAACATTATTGAAAGAAATTAAAGACTGGGCTGAACAAATCAGCTCAGGGGCAGAGTGCTTGCTTAGCATGAGCAAGTCCCTACTGTCAATTGCCAGTGCCACAAGTCAAAGAATAATAAGCCTTTGTAAACAGCAATATACCTCATGTTTACACTCAAGGATTAGAATGCTTAATACATTACGATAGCAATAATCCCCCACAATGATTCTACCAATTCAATGCAATCTGTAATCAATCCCAACTCACTTCTCTATAAAAACTGAAAGCAAATCCTAAAATATCTATGGAAATACAAGGTATATGAGCACACAAAACAGTCTTGGAAAACAACAAAAAAGGCTTGTGTTTCCCCATTTAGAAATTTAATACAAACTTGAAGCAATCAACATAACATGGTGCTTGCATAAAAAATGTACATACAGATCAACTAAATAAAATAAAGAATGCAAAGCTTATATCCTTACTTATGGCCACACCACTTTCAGTAAAGGTGTCAAAACAATGTGATGGGGAAGGAGTTCTTCAACAACTGGTGGTGTCACAACATGAAGAGAGCAACATACTTTGTCCCTTCCATCACACTTCATACACAAATTAACTCAAAGTGCATCAAGTACCTAAATGTAAGAGCTAAAACTATACAACTCTTGGGAGAAAACATAAATATAAGTTTTCATGGCCATTCCTTTAGCCAATAATTGTTTTTATTTTGGCTTTTTATTGTTGATCTTCATGTGTGCTGTGTGTCCTCACTTCTGTGGGTATGTCCAAGTATGTGAGCATGCACATGTGGGCGCTGTGGAATATTAGTTGAAGATATGTTACATTCATTTATGATGTGGAATATTTGCTTAATGGTGCAAAGATGTGTTTCGTTCTTTTATGTTGCATTTGTTTAACTCTGTAAGGTTGTGTTATTTTGCCTGCCTCAAAAACCTGATTGGTCTAATTAAGAGCTGAACGACCAATAACTATGTAGAAGAGAGAGATCATCAGGGCTGCCAGGCAGAAAGAATGAATAGGAGGAGAAATCTATGCTGGAGAGAAGAGGGAGATTGAGAAAAGGAGGAGAGGAGGACACCAGGGACCAGTCACACAGCCACACAGTCAGCCATGGAGAAGGAAAGATATATAGAATAAAAAAAAGGTAAAAGTCCAGAGGAAAAATGTTAGAAAAACTGGCTAGACACAAGCCAAGGCCTGGCATGCATAAGTAAAAATAAGTCTGTGTGTATTTATTTGGGAACTGGGTGGTGGACCCCCGAAGTGCAACAAAAACAAAAACAAAACAAAAAAAAACTACATGAAGGTACATGAGTATGGAAGCCAGAAATCTTGCAGGGAGTCTCCACTAATCCCTCCCTTCCTTGTCTTTTGAATATTCACTGTTCACTGATCTGGAGTTAACTGATTCGACTATCTTAGGTCAATAAGCTTTAAGCATCTGTGTATGTCTGCCTCCCCAGCACTGGGATTACAGATGTTGTCACCACTACACCAAGTTTTTATGATGGAACCTAAGATTCAATAAAGTTATTATGTGTACACATCAATTACTTTACCAACTGAGCCATCTGCTTAAAACTAGCCAGTACAAACTCACAGAATGAAAAAAAAAATGTGCTTATGATCCATCTGATAAGGAGTTCACATCCAAAATATATACAGAACTCATACAAAAAAAAAACCCAGTTTTAAAATGGATAAAGGACTTAAACATTTCTTTAAAGGAGATTTAAAAATGTTCAATTACAGACATGCAACTATGCTTACCATCATTAGCCATCAAGGAAATACAAATTAAAACCACATTAAAATGCCAGTTTATATCTTCAGGGATGGATAAAATCAAAACAAAAACAATGAAAAGTGTTCACAAAGAAAAACAATCCTTTTTATCCAATCCAAGCATCTCTAGACAAGAAAATCACAAGCACAGAGGGAGTGGAGGCCTTCTAAGTTCACACGCATCTCTAGCCTACCTAGATGATCCAAATGAAGACAAACTTGGGGAGGTAGGCTGACATAAAACATGGGGTCTAAAGTATAGGCATCTGGGGTTCTCCAGGAAGCAGCCTGGACAGATGGTACTAAAGTGAATCCTACAACCATGATACTCAAAGAAATTCTAGTCATTTCAATGTTCCAGCTCAAACACAAACCAGAAATCATTCACCTTGACCTATCATGAAAGAAAACCAAAACCAAACAAAAACTTTCTAAATGAGAGAGAACTTTCAGAAAACAACAAACTAAAACTATGCCAGGTAAAATGAAAATAAAAATCACTGGAAGGGTAGGACAGTCAAGTTAAGTTCTCAGAAACAAGCAAAAATGAAAAGACAGGAAAGAATTAAAGAACCAATACAGGGTAGCTTAGCACATAAAATTCGATGAAAATGGTATACTTTATAGTGACATTTCAAGTAGAAAGAAAAAAGTCATCAGGACTAGGATATAGAATACAAAGAATTAATTAGGTATCAGAATTTTATCCAAATTATCCATTCCAGTCCTGGAAGCTCTAAAACAAGGGAAAATATCTTCAATGTTCTGAATTCTTTCCAACTTCCAAATGCATTTAAACATAAATAAATAAAATATATTTAGACATGCAAGGTCTTTAAAACTTGCTGCGGCTCATGTACTCTTTCTCAGGAAACACTAAAATATACTTTGCCCAAATGAGGAAATTAACCAAGAAAGAGGAAGAAGCAAGACATGGAAAGCCAAGAGAGAAAGCTGAAGCAAGCTAAAGGTCCTGAAAGGAGATCCCTGTATGAGTACTGAGCACATGAGGAGGAGCCACTGCAAAAGACAGGCAGGTCTTGGAGCTACGTGAATAGCACATCCTGTCTGACTCACGCACATGGAGCCGAATTTCATACAAGCAATAAAGAACATGGCATTGAATTAGGAAAGACTCGTGGAAATCTGGCAACTGTGTAAAAAGCAGTTACCAATTCTAGATAAACAAGACCTGTGTAAACAAGAAAAAAGAGTACTTAACACAATTATAATAACTGCTCAGTTATAACTAACATTGATAGTCATGAGAGTCTTGACCTAAACAATATATGCTGACCACAATATTACAGAGATGGAGGGTGTGAGCATATGTATGGATATGCATGCTGTTGAGGGAATACAAGTCAAAGGGAGCAAAAGGTATCTCTGATGTTCATGAAACATTCCTAAACCAAAGCCTAGGATCAATAGTAACAGTCATGATAAAACAGAAATATGATGGCAAGTTATTTATCAATATCAACCAATTACATAAGTGTTAAATTCTGCACCAACCTGAAGAGGACATTAGAGTTAATATGATGATGAAGGGAAGATTCCACCCATAAGCCCCTTGTGGGGGACTAGCTGTCTTTTGAAAGTTTGTGCACAATACTTTTAGAATACTACTATTCAACAAAAATGCAATGTCAGCAACAAATGCAATTTAGAAGTTTCTAGTGGCTACATTTCATAGAAATCAAACACAGAGAAGTAAAATGGTTTCAGCAATATATTTTGGTGCTGGGAAGATGGCTCAGTGGGTAAAAATACTTGCCATATAAGCATGAATTCAAATCACCAGATCCCATTAAAAAAAAAAGGAAGGAAAGAAAGAAAAGAAAAAGAAAAGCTGTGTGGAATACTCCTTTACACTGTGTAAATATATGTCACTGTGACTGGTTAATAAAGAAGCTGACTGGGAAGAAGGGTGGAGAGAGAGAGGTCCAAGCAGATGTGGAGAGAAGCAAGATGCACATGCCATACTAAGAAAAGGTACCAAGCCATGTTACAAAGCGTTAGCTAAAAATATGGGTTCATCAAAAATGCAAGAGTTAGCTAGTAGCAAGCCTGAGCTGTTGGCCAAGCACTTTGAGGACAGAGGAAGGGTAAACCAGGGAACTTGCTGGTCAGTCAGCATAGCTGAAATCCTGACCTTCAGATTCAGGGAAGGATCATGACTCAGGGAATAAAG